TTTTTTCTTAGAAATTTTAAATTAAATTCAGAATTCAGTTTTTTTCTTAGAAATTTTAAATGAAATTCAGAATTCAGATTTTTTAAATCAGAATGCAGAGACCAAAGTCCTCCCCCCAAGTTGCTCTAATCCTCTTATGTATTGATCAGCTTTTCTGTTCAGGTATTTTTTCTCACAATATCCAGAAACATTTAATCATTTTACATTTATAAAGTAATGCGATGTAAAACAACAATGTCAATAACTTCTACAAGCATGTATTAATTATTAAAAAWAACTGTAAATGCGAGGTCCCTTCAGTTGACCTCAGGTGAAAATAATCCATCCTTTAACATTCAGACAGGATTCCTGCAGGCCAAGAGTCTCCCCTGCTGAATAATCCAAAGCAGAGAGCTTAGTTTTCTGAACTTAATCTACCCGTGGCTGACAAACGCAGCAGCCTTTTATCCTCTGGGACCAAAAGGAGCAGTTTAACTTAATTGGATTGAACTTTTAAAAACAGCAAGAAATTTCCCCAAATACCTTTAGAGTGAATGTGAAACAAATAACGGAGAGTAGTTTATGAGCTTAGCTTTGGTTTGACAAGAAAATAGAACATTTTAGACGAAGGATGTTTTCAGTTTGTTTTCTAAAGTAAGTGATGCAATCCCTGGGCACAACTATCCTGCATGTTTCACGTTTCTCTGCTCCAGCACACCTGATCTGAAAGGACGATTAACAGAACTTATCGTGGTAATCTGAATCAGGTGTGTCGGAGCAGAGCAACATCTAAAACTAGTCGGACAGCAGAGCTTAGTTTTATCTTTAAAGCTGAAGTGGAGGGTTGAAGAGTCAAGGTGGTGACCCAACAAAGAAGCAACACTTCAAACAAATACAGAAATAAACACAACACACAAAAAGATTTAACTCCTCACAACCCAGTCGAGGATTTAAACCTTTTTTACTGAGAATTACTTGCTGATAAAYATCATCAGCTGAGCAGAAAAGAAAGAATCAAAGGATGTTTCTCTCCTGACTCGTATGAAGAGGTTATCTGCAGCTGAGTGTAAGGACAGCAGCAGAAGTGGGTATCGTGAATTTCCTCTGTTCTCTTGGGGGCGAAGGCAGGAAGAAACTAAACAAGTTAGTCTTTGTGGGCCCATATCAAAGGCGAGACACGACAGGAATCAGAGATAAAGAGCAGATAGAGGCCGAGGTAGAGAGGAGAAGATTTAGATTCAGCACGGCACATCACAAAACACTCCCTCCTCACCGACGCCTCACCGTGCTGTTGTCTCTGGTGGTCGCCTCCTGAGCGAGCGCTGCCTGGCTCGGAGACATTTCACAGTCTGGTGAGCGCTCGTATCGTCTCATCAGCTCCTCACACATCAGTTTGTTCAGACACTCACGCTCAAACTTCACGCCTGTTTGAAGAAAGCTGATGCTCCTGTGATAAAAGCTGCTGCCTGTTAATGGTGATCCTCAGAGCTGATGACTGGGAGAATTTATGTGTAGGACAAACACAAACCAACACCAGCAGCTGATGCCTTTGAATATTTCAACTTCTGGTTGTAAAATGCTTTTTTTTTTAAAGATATTTATCTGAAAAACACTGAAGTCTGCTTCGAAACAGGTCTTAGAGTGAAAAACTGTGATGAGACTAAGAGATGATGAAACCACAGGCAACAGATTCTCCTTATTTTCTTTCTTTGAATTCATCATTTTCCCCCATATTTCTCTTTTGATACCTCCTTACTTTTCTTGTCCTTCTGTATTATTTGTACTGAACTGTGTAACAATCATCTAATATTTTGCACAAACCCAAACTATTAACTAGATACTGCGGTATCGTATTTGACCCTCAGATGCAAAGCACCAATGCACCAGAACAGGTTTATTGTTTTGGTTGGGGGGGTCAGAGGGGGTGGGTTATGGGATAAATCTTGTGCCAGCAGGAATTGAATTTGAATTGCTCAGGTTGAATCTGAATGTGCATAATTTGAAATTGAATGCATTGGTTTGAAAATGAATTTTACTAAAATGAAACTGAATTTAAAATTTTGAATTTGAATTATTTGCTTTGAAACTGTATTTTGGTTTATTAAAAATTCAGTTTGACTACTTTCACTTTCAATTCCAT